TCGGAGGCGGAGGAGGGGGGAGGCGGCCTTCCCTAACCAGCTCGTGGAATCGTGCGCTGGTGAGAAAAGTTCGCGGGATGGCCTGAGGGGCCGCGCTCGCTGGGACAGAACAGAGCCGCACCGTCCGCTCAGTCACATCACTATGCGCCGCTCCTCTCTCCGTGTCGTTCTGGCTCAGTTGTTGACGAGACGTCCCAGTTCTCGCTCCAGTGCTCCACGTGGCGCCGCCTCGATCTTGCGGCTCGCTCCCTCCTTGCGGAGGGCGCGCGTGAGGATCGTCTCCAGCTGCGTGTCCGTTGCCTTCACCTGGAACTGGAACCTGCACTTCTCCGTGGCGCCCCCGTCCTTGCCCTTGTTCCTGCGAACGCGGAAGAGCGGGATGCCGTCTGCTACCTTCTCCGCGCTGCCACTCAAGATGACGTCCTTGTAGTACTTCTCGAGGTAGTCTTTCTCCGCTCCTGCGTCGTACGTGCGCCCCATGTAGTTCACCACTTCGGTCCACACGCGGATATGGGGGCTGCCGAGCGAGGCCGTGTCCACTTGTTCTCCATCTGTTGCTCTGCGTCGTAAGTCCTGCGCGTCGTCGTTGTACGTCTGGCCCGCCTGTAAGCCCGCCTGCGCGATGCCGCTCTGCGCGCTGATCCCCCACGTCTGGATGACGGCCGACGCCAGCTCGGCCTGCTCGCGCGCCAGCGTGAGGGTGAGGCGTGCCGTGAGGTCCACTATGTGCGGGTTGGCCACCGCTGTTCCTCCTCCCACTGGTGCTCCTCCTGCGGCAGCTCGTCGTGGTTGTCGACTGCGGTCTGGTCGCTGAGGTCCTCCTGCCGCCGCCGCTGGCGCCCAGGCTGGGCGCTGGTCGAAGAGCGCCATCCTGTGCCTGAGGTCGCAGTAGTGGTCTGGGCAGATGCGTGCACAGGTGTGTGAAGAAGGCGCCCTTGTCTAAGAAGAGATGGCTGCAGAGAGGACAGTTCGTGCTCGGTTTAGTCGGCTGGCTCTGGTTTCGTGTCCTATCTGGGTTACAGCTGCCCGTGATCAAACTCCTGGCCAGGTGTTTCCAGGCTGTTCCACGGCTCGTGAAGCACTGGTAGCAATTGATGCACTCGTTGTTCGTAGTTAATAGAGCGGCTAAATTGTGAACGTTATGATTCCGAATGACATGACTGTGTAGCGCTTTTTTGCTCGCGAACAGTAGTCCGCATTCCCCAGAATCGTCCCCGAGCGAGCACTTCCAAGGCTGGAGGTCCTGGAGGGCTAAGTCTTCTCGGAGTTCGTCGTCAGGAGTATAGCCTGGAGGAGGAACTGCTACCGTCAATTTAGCTGCTCTGACCTCGCGTACGTCTAGTAGGTGCAGTTGTTCTCTAACCACTAGCGTGAACATCTTACCTATATTGACCTGCTCTTCCCCGAAGATGTTTCTGAAGCTCTCCGAGACTTGGCAGGCCTTCGTGACATCCTCCTCGATTCGTCGGGCCCAGGGGTTCGCGTGCGTCGTCAGCTCGTCTGTCGCGCCGTCATCGTTGGTCTCGAATTCGAGGCGTCCGAACAAGGCGACGATGAGTTGGCGGCGATTGTTCGGGAATCTCAATATATTTTTGTCCAGCCAAGTCTGCGGACCAGTGCCTCCTCCGCTGGAGGGAGGATCTGCCAGTAGCGGAAGACCTCCAGCGTTGTCAAACTACGTGCCGAGCCGTCCTCGCTGCGGGTGCTGGCTCGGCCTGCCATCGCCCGTCTCAGGAGGGCGCCCATCGCGCTCTGGAGCATCTGGTACTCGTTGGGCGTGGGCAAGTAGCACTCGATGCACGAAAGCCCCGTGTTGATGACCCTGCATATGAGGACCGCGCGCTTCCACTTGTAGGGTATCTCTCGCTTGGTCCAGAACCTGCCGCACTCGTAGTAGCTCTTCTTCATGGCCTGGATACGTTTCTGCAACTCTGGGTAGTAGCTCTGCGTCGATGTTACTTGAGGGCCCAGGTACCGAGCCACCGCCACCACGTTGCCTGGAAGTTTGCATTGCGGGTCCTTCTTGATTCGTTGATGCGCCTGGCTGGCGCCTTCTCCCTGAAAGTGTACTATCGTCTCCTGCTTATCTTGGCTTTGCTTCAGGCCGATCTCGCTCAGGCGTCTGTCCAGCGTGTCGTCTATCTTGTGAGCCTGGTCGGCGAACAATTTGGGATTGGCTTGTTTCCCGTTCAAGATGATCTTGCGTATGTCGTCCGCGTACTTCGTCAGCCCCACGTATACTGGATGCTGGAACAGTTCACTTCTTCCATACAGTAACTCGTCGTACTCTATCTCGTCGTTGCAGTCCTTGGTCCACCTCTGGATGCAAGGGGCGAAGCTGGCTACGAAGTTGCGCACCATGTAGGGGTCGCCGATGAGGCCGCCGAAGTGGGGCTTGATGCATATTCCCTGCGTGTCGTCTCTGCAATCAATGTTGAACGTCGCCCTGCGGTATCGTTGTTCTCCGAGGTCCCAGAGGTCCTGCGGCATGATGTTGCTGTTGGCCGCGTCCATGGTCAGCCACTTGCAGCTGGCGAACGCGTTGGACATGTCCTTCATGGTGGACGCGTAATTGTAGCCTGCGTTGCGAGCCCTGTACTCGATGACTGACATGGTGAGGATGGCTCCTTCTCGTCGTCGTCCCCTGATGAACCCGTAGTCCTGGTCCGTGTGGGTTTGTTGTCGGTGCCTCCTGAGTCCCGCAGCGTAGTATGCCTTGCCGATGGGGTCCATGATGTGGTGAATTCGCTTGCCTGCTGGTCCTTTCTTCGTGTTCTTCTTAACCGCCGTCGCCGTGCTTTGATGCCATCGAACTGGTGCCACGTTGCTAATGCGTATCGCAGCCAAGGCCGCCTTCAATAATGCTTGAAACTGTTCAGGTTCTCCATCTCCCTCTTGATGTCCGAGGCCGTGTCGTTGGCGTGGTTGGTGTTCCGCCTTCGGTGGGCATAGTAGTAGTCGCCATATCTCCGCTGGTGCCGCCGTTGGTGGTGCTGCTCGTCGTAGGCGTGCTCGTTTGAGGCTTTTGGCAATCTCGTTGTAGTCTTCCTTTATCTTTTCCTCCAAGTCATCCTCGTCGTAGTCCTTCTCCTCGGCGTTGTGCGGGATGGCCTCCAGGTGCTGCGTGTCCTGCTCGGTGCCTTCCATGCCGCCTGAACCACCTGGTAGTTGCCCAAAATCGAGCCATTCCTGCTTCGTGGGGTTCGCCGTCGTAGCCGTCCAGAAGTCCCTCTTGCGTGGTCCGTATCTTCCTCCCGCGATCAATCGTGATAGTCTTCCAGCGCTTGCCAAATCCCTTTCCTCCCACGCCTCGTATAGTTATTCGACTCGTTGCCCTGTGCGTAGTTGTTGTGCGTGTCGTCGTTGTCGTTGGCATGTCTTCGTGATGTCCTGCAGTTTTTTTTCTTTCTCGTGCATGCGCTGCTCGGTCTCCGTGATCGGTTGTTCGTCTGTGGCGTATGGGTTGCCTTCCAGCTCGGTCTCTTCCTGGGTCCTGGGTGGGCCGGCGACCGTCCCTGGAGGGTCCCTGGGTTCGAGCACGTCCGCGCAAAACGGGGGAGGCGACGATTCGGGAGCTGGCGTGCGGTTAGCCTCGTGATGAGCAGCGTGTAATTCGTGAAGTACTGAACGGGCTGCTCTGCGTTGTCTTAGTAGCTGCATGCGCTCGTTGCGGAGCCTCTCGTAGTCGTCGGTCGGTTTCGGCGCCTGGCTGTAGTACTGCTGAGCTGTCTCTACGAGGATGGTGTTGATGTCCGTGAAAAGCTGATCGACTCCCTTTCCTGCTGGGTTGTAGTCCTCTATTCGTTGCTCAACCTTCTTGATGTATTCTCCTCTGTGCAGTCCGTGTCGCACTGCGAGTGCGAGGCTGTCCTTGTCCCACCTTGGTAGCTGAGGTCGCTGCCGTACTTGTTGCCGTAGAGGAAGCCGAAAGGTCACCTGCACTGGAACGTGGTCTCGTCTAGATCGGCAGCGTATGTGTTGTAAGCGTGTTTCCATCCTGAGCAAGGGTCCTTGAGATATCATTGTCTCGGTCATGCTCCTCGGTATCATGATGTAGTCGATGCAGCTCGTGTTCTTCTCTCCGAAATATGCGGGACGCCATTGCCCGAGGGTGTTCACCACGCTGAGGTCGTAGCGATCGGCGTAGATGCGAGCCTTCTGTCCAGCGCCGCCTGGTAGTCTTTCGGGCGATCTGCCTTTTCCGAATGCTGGTGTATCTGGTCGTCCTCCTTTCTGTGTAATGCCGATGCCGTCGTTGAGGTCGCCCGCCACAATGAGTATCGTGTGCCTGTGCTTCCGTTTGCTGGTCTCTTCTATCCAATTGAACAATCTGCTCGTCGTAGCGTAGTACTCTTTCCTGGTCGTCTTGCCTTTGTTGGGTTGCGGCGGACTGTAGTATCCTATGATCAGCAGCGTCTGGTCGTGATGCTGCAGGGTGATCGCGAGGCCTCTTCCACTGAGCTCGGGCGTCGGTTCCTGGATGTCGATCACCTTAGCCCCTCGCAGTCGTCCTTGCAGCGCGATGATGATGCCCGTGCTGCGGTTGGTCAGTTCTCCTGGTTGCCAGCCCGCGTCGTAGTAGCGTGTGTTGTCTCAGCGGTGCTGCGTGATGACTGGGTCGCGTCGTCTGCGTGATGTCCTCACTAGCACGATGATGTCAAAATTGTTGGCCTCCTCGTATATTTCCGCGAGCCTGTCGGGCTTTGCCGAGAGTGGGTCGAAGAGGAGCACAGCGAGAGAAGCTGCGAGTGCCGCCATCATGCGGGCCGCCGCCCCTTCTGTCTGCTCGGTCCGAGGAACAGCATGGTGGCGGTCTGGGCTGCCCTGACGATATCTTAGGCCCAGATGGCAGCTAGTAGGAGGAGGAGGAGGAGGAGGGGGAGGAGGAGGGGGAGGAGGAGGAGGGGAGGAGGAGGAGGAGGAGGAGGAGGAGGAGGAAGTGGAAGAGGAGGAGGAGGAGGAGGAGGAGGAGGAAGAGGAAGAGGAAAGCCCGTCGCGAGGCGGCGCCCGCGGACGAGGACGGCCCGCCGCGGCACCGCCACGGGCGGGCGGCGCACCGCCACGAGCGAGGAGCCGCGCCGCGCGCCCCAAGCGCCCGCGGGCTGGGTGCCCTCCGTGGGCTCTTTTTGCCGGGCGTTGGCTTCGTCGTCGGCGTCGTTGTCGGCGTCGTGGACGTCGTCCTCGTCGTCGTTCCCGTCGTCGTCCTCGTCGTCCTCGTCCTCGTCCTCGTCGTCCTCGTCGTCCTCGTCCTCGTACTCGTCGTCCTCGTCGTCCTCGTCGTCCTCGTACTCGTTGTCGTCTTCGTCCTCGTCGTCGTCGGCGTCTTCGTCCTCGTCCTCGTCGTCGCCCTCGTCCTCGTCCTCGTCCTCGTCCTCCTCGTCGTCGTGGACGTCGCCGTCGTCGTGGACGTCGCCGTCCCTCGCGGCTCGGGCCGGGCGCCCGCGCCCGGCCTTGGGCCCCAAGGCCCCCCGCAGAATTCGAGATCTCCGGCCTGACGAGGGCGCCGCGGGAAGGCGGGCTCTCCGGGGCTCCCGCCGCGCGACGTTTGACGTCGAAGAAGGAAAGCGCTATATAAACATACATTGTCGTCGTCCTCGCCCTCGTCCTCGTCCTCGTCTTCGTCGTCCTCGTCTTCGTCGTCCTCGTCTTCGTCCTCGTCCTCGTCCTCGTCTTCGTTCTCATTCTCGTCTTCGGCCTCGTCGTCCTCGTCCTCGTCCTCGTCGTCGTCCTTGCCTTCGTCGTCGTCGTCTGGGGCTCACTCTGGGGCTCAGGGGCTCCGGCCGCGCGAGGGTTGACGATGTCGCAGTCTGCTCGCAACACTCGACGAAGAAAAACAAAAAAAAAAATACTAATGATCATCATCATCATCATCATCATCATCATCATCATCATCATCATCATCATCATCATAACCATCAGCATCATCATAATCATCACCATCATTACCATTATCATCATCAGCATCAGCATCATCATCATCATCATCATCATCATCATCGTCGTCGTTACCATTATCATTACCATTATCATTACATCATCAGCAGCATCAGCATCATCAGTTGCAGTCTGCTCGCAACGCTCGAAGGAGGATGAATAATTGATTGCTGACGAGTGTCGCCGCTCGCTCTCCGTCTGATCTGCTGGTTGACGATGCGCAGTTGGTAACGCCCGAAGAAGAAGAAGAAGAAGAAGCACTGCAAACATCAGCTTTTGGCGCTCCGCGCGGATTTCTTGGGTCCTCGCGGGGGCCCGCCCCCCCCGGCGGCGCCTCCGGCGCCGCACCCGGCGCGCTCCGCGCGCCAGGCAGGGGGGCCCCGGTGCAGATCCAAGCAATCCGCGCGGAGCGCCACCAGCTCCTGCTGGGTGGCAGCTCCTCTTCGCCCAAATCTGCCCGCGACGCTGGCTCTCGGGGTGCGTCGCCACGGCGGGCCCTCGCCACCGCGGCTCGTGGCCCCGAAGCCTCCACGGCCGGCCGCGGCTCCCGAGGAATGGCGCTCCTCCTCTGGGGAGCGGCGCCGGGGGGCGGTCCGGGCACCAGCTCGTCGAGCGATCTCGGAGTCCTCCGGACTGGAACAGAGTTTGCGGCCAGGTCCTCCGCAGGGCCGACGCGCTGGGCCGGAGCCGAATGGGGAGAGTTCTTTCTAAGAAGAACCAGAACCAAACCAGTAGGGTTCAGCAAACCAGGCACCCGTGTGGCAAGACCACAGGGGGCGGCGGATCGAAGACGCCTACGGCGAATCACCGCCGCCCCCTGCCTTTTTGGAAGTGCCTATGTGGCCGAACGTTGAGGCCAGACCTGCCAAGCTATCGGACCATGTGTTCCCCGAATCGGTTTGGAAAGCCTTCGGGGAACACGTGGGCATCTTGAAGGTCATCTTGACCGTCGGGAGGCCATTTTGACCCTTTCGGGCTTCCATCTTGGGCGTGTTGGAGGCCTCTTGGGCCGGGCCGTCTTGGGGCCCTCTTGGGGCCGTCTTGGAGGCCACTTGGGCCGTCATGGGGCCCTCTTGGGCGATCTTGGGGCGATCTTGGGAGCCTCTTGGGCCGTCTTGGGCCGTCGGAAAGCCGAAAAGGCGCAAATGCCAAAATCCTTCAAAAACCTAAGAAAATCAATGATGTTGGCCTCGTCGGGCCTTCCTGGAGGACCTCTTCGAGACCTCTCGGACCATCTTGGAGGCCTCTTGCGGGCATTTTGGGCCGTTGTAGACCATCTTGGGCCGTCTTGGAGGCATCTTGGGGCCATCTTAGCCGTCTTGGAGGCCATCTTGGCCGTCTTGGACGCCATCTTGGGCCAACTGGAGCAAACAGAGGCACGACGGATGCGTGTTGAGATCCTTCCCGGGACCCCGGCGGGACGTGACGAAGCCCCAGGGGGAGTTCTTTTATGGAATTATCCCAGTGCGACCCTACCCAGGAGTTGGAGCATCTAGGAAAGCAACATCTACATCTACACCGACAGCTACATTAACATCTACACCTGCATCTACATCTACATCAACATCAACAGCGAAACTAAGATGAATATATGCAAGCGCTAAGCTAAGCTAAGCTAAGCTAAGCTAAGCTAAGCTAAGCTAAGCTAAGATGATATACGCAAAGCTAAGGTAAGGGGGCGCAACTGGGGGAACCGCGGGGCGGGGACCGGGGGAACCGCCTGGGGCGAGTTCCACTGCCCGGCCCCTTTAAGATAGAGAGTAAGAACCCTTCTAGGGAGAGCCTAGGTAGGGAAAAATAACCAAAGCCAAAAGCGATATCGTTCGGCACGCCGGGCACCCCTTTGATAAATCAAAAGGGGGCGGCGGATCGAAGACGCCTACGGCGAATCACCGCCGCCCCCTGCCTTTTTGGAAGCGCCTATGTGGCCGAACGTTGAGGCCAGACCTGCCAAGCTATCGGACCACGTGTTCCCCGAATCGGTTTGGAAAGCCTTCGGGGAACACGTGGGCATCTTGAAGGTCATCTTGGCCGTCTTGGAGGCCTCTTGGGCAAGCTTTGGGCGATCTTTGGGGCTTTTTGGGCCGTCTCGGGCCAGCTTCGAGCCAACTTCGGCCATCTTGGTGGGTTCCTGGCACGTCTGAAGCCGTCGGAAGCCGTTTGGGGGGCCTCTATGGGCCGACTTGGGGCCCGCTTGGAATGCTCCAGGGCCGTCTTGGAGGCCATCTTGGGCGTCTTGGAGGCCATCTTGGGCGTGTTGGAGGCCTCTTGGGCCCTCTTGGGGCCCTCTAGGGGCCATCTTGGAGGCCACTTGGGCCATCATGGGGCTCTCTTGGGGGCCTCTTGGGCGATCTTGGGGGCTTCTTGGGCCGTCTTGAGCCGTCGGAGAGCCGAAAAGGCGCAAATGCCAAAATCCTTCAAAAACCAAGGAAAATCAATGATTTTGGCCTCTTCGGACTCTCCTGGAGGACCTCTTGGAGGCCTCTTGGGGCCTCTTGGGCCGTCTTGGGCCATCTTGAGGCTATCTTAGGCCGTTTTGGGTACATCTTGGGCCGTCTTGGAGGCATCTAAAGGCCATCTTAGCCGTCTTGGAGACCATCTTGGCCATCTTGGAGGCATCTTGGAGGCCAGTTCGAGCCATCTTGGAGGATTTTTTCCGGTCGTTGAGCACGTTTGGGGGCCTTCCGGGTGGCCGGCGGGTTCTGCCGGAGCCCACTGGGGAGTTCTTTTAGAAAAAGAACCAAAACCAAAACTGAAACATCCAGCACGCCGTGCACCCCTGCAAGCAGGGGGCGGCGGATCGAAGACGCCTACGGCGAATCACCGCCGCCCCCTGCCTTTGTGGAAGCGCCTATGTGGCCGAACGTTGAGGCCAGACCTGCCAAGCCATCGGACCATGTGTTCCCCGAATCGGTTTGGAAAGCCTTCGGGGAACACGTGGGCGTCTTGATGGTCATCGTCGCCGTCTTGGAGGCCTCTTGGGCGATCTTTCGGCGATCTTTGGGGGCTCTTGGGCCGTCTCGGGCCGTCGGAAGGCCGAAAAAAGGGAAATGCCCAAATCCATCAAAAACCTTGGGAAAATCAGTGATTTTGGCATCTTTTGGCCTTCCTGGAGGCCCTCTTGGGGGCCTCTTGGGCCCTTTTGGGCCAGCTTCGAGCCAACTTCGGCCATCTTGGTGGGTTCCTGGCACGTCTGACGCCGTCGGGAGCCGTTTTGGGGGCCTTTCTGGGCCAACGGGGGACCCTCTTGGGGCGCTCCAGGGCCGTCTTGGAGGCCATCTTGGGCGTCTTGGAGGCCATCTTGGGCGTGTTGGAGGCCTCTTGGGCCGTCTTGGGGCCCTCTAGGGGCCATCTTGGAGGCCACTTGGGCCATCAGGGGGCTCTCTTGGGGGCCTCTTGGGCGATCTTGGGGGCTTCTTGGGCCGTCTTGAGCCGTCGGAGAGCCGAAAAGGCGCAAATGCCAAAATCCTTCAAAAACCAATGGAAAATCAATGATTTTGGCCTCTTCGGACTCTCCTGGAGGACCTCTTGGAGGCCTCTTGGGCCGTCTGGGAGGCCTCTGGGGGGCCTCTTGGGCCGTCTTGGGCCGTCTTGGACTCTCTTGGGCCGTTTTGGAGGCCGTCTTGGACCATCTCGGGCGGACTTGGAGGCCATCTTGGGCCATCTTCGCGATTTTTTGAAAATGTCCCGAGCGAAACGGCCGTTTTTGGAGGATTTTTTTCTGGATTGAGGTGTTTTCGGCTTCCTCCCGGGACCCCGGCGGGACGGGCTGGAGCCCACTGGGGAGTTCTTTTGGAAAAAGAACCAAAACCAAAACCTGACAGCTCATCCAGCACGCCGTGCACCCCTGCAAGCAGGGGGCGGCGGATCTGGGGGCATACGGCCCATCCCGCCACCGTGCCTGGGTTGTGGGTTAGAGGCGTCTTGTATGTTCGTTTGGATACCGTGGGAGGCCTCTCGGGGGCCTCGTGGAGGCAGCTTTGAGGCCTCTTGGGGGGCCTCTTGGGAGCCTCGTAAGGCCTCTTGGCGGCCTCTTCGGCTCTCTTCGGAACCTCTTGGGGCCTCCTGGGGGCCTCTTGGGGCGGAAGGCTCGATTTGTCGGTTCGTGTTCCCCCTCTTGGGCCGTCTTGCGGCCCTCTTGGGCAATCTTGGGCGTCTCTTGGGCCGTTTGGGTGCCCCATTGGACCGTCTTGGGGCCCTCTTTGGAGCTTCTTGGGCCGTCTTGGGGCAGTTTTGGGAGCCTCCGGGGCCATCTTGGAGCGTCGGAAGCCCGAAAACGCAAGAACGCGAAAAACATTTAAAGACACAAGTACAATCAGTGTTTGTTGCCTCTTCGTGCCCTCTTGGGGTTCCTCTTAGAGCGCTCTTGGGGCTTCTTTGGGGCCTCTTGGGCCGTCTTGGGGCCATCTTGGGCGACTTGGAGCGCTCTTGGGCTGTCTTGGAGGCCTAGTGGACCCTCTTGGGCACTTTCTGGCACCCTCTTGGCCCGTCTTGGGGCCCTCTGGCTCTTGGAAGAATCATGCGAGGCAGCCCAGAAACGCGCGGGAACGCCGTGAAAATTTGAGAATGTGGGGCCCCAGCCTTTAGAATACTAATCCCAGAGTTCTGAGTAAAAAGCACAGAGGACACATCAGGACCTGGAGAAATTTCACTTCGCGCCTCGCGGCACGCTGGCGGATTTGCACGGATGGACGACGGCTGGTTTTCGGAATGGTGTTCTCGTCGCAGGTCCGCTCGCATTCGTCCTAAAAGTTTCTCGCCAGACATACGAATTGAGAGCTGGCGGGGTTCAGAATGTGGCTCTCACCGTAGCGCTGCGCACATCCGTACGAAGAGCTCTAAGCAGCTGCGCTGATGCAGCGAAGGTCAGTTTCAAAATGCGGCTATCGCACGAGACGTCCTCATGTTCGACGGGAACGTGTAACGCTTGAAATGAACAACAGATATGCGGGTGTAGGGCGGTCTGTCTTCAAAGCCTGGCTCTCGATTACGGTTCTCTTACATATCAGGGTCGTGCAGGTTGAGAAAAGCCAAAGAGTTGTATACGCTTCACCGTCGTGTTTTCGCTCGGGCGCCGCGTACACCAGATCCACTGTCGGAGGCAATTGTCGCTCAAGGTGTTCGCGCGCCGTAACTCAATGTAGTCGAGCTTGAATGTATGACGCATGATGCGCATTTCAGCCACACACAGACAGGCATACAGCCAAGAACCCCCTTCTGGACGCCCCCGATCTCCCTCGGCCGCGGACGTTTCCCCCCCCCCCTCGTGGAGGTGCTCCGGGCGCGAGGAGCCGAAGCCCCAGGGCGAGCCTCCCTCGGGGGGCTCCCAAGGCGCAGGGGCACCCCCGATGTGGGCCGCTGTCTTGTGGTCGAGAGGGGGCTCCTCGGAGACAGGGTGGCAGGGGCTCGCGCCGCCGCCCCGTGGGCCACTGCAGGCCCCAGCGTGCTCACGGAGCGTCGGGCGCCTCTTCCGCACTCTGCGCATGCATTACGCCGCCCTCTCCTCCTCCACGGCTGTCCGCTGCGTCGCCGACCGCCAGCGTGTGCAGAGCAGACAGTGGATCGCGTCTTACACCAACGGTTGCGGGTATGAGTGAGGGGGCGGCGAGGTCGTTGGCAGTGTGCAAGGCTCTCACGGAGTTTGCCGCAGGCGCCGATGTTTTACACATTGCACAGCCCGCCGCAGTCGCCGCATGTTCGTCAAAGCAATGCGGGCTGGTCGCGGACGGGGCGCGGGCGAAAACGACAACTACAAACAAACAAACAAACAATGATAAACGTGACGGCGGAAGCACACTTCAGGCACGCACCCCGGGATGGTGTAATACCGGTCGGCCCCCTCACTCTGATCAGCTTGATTGTCACCGTTATTATTCGCGTGAACCTAGGTACCAGCATTAGTTGTACTGGTATGATTGTCGATGCTATTTCTCTTCGTCGTCGTCCTCCTCCTCCTCCTCCTCCATATCCTCCTTTCCTCCCTCCTCGTCGTCGTCCTCCCCCCCGCGTCCCTGTGCCAAATGCATGCTCTCCCCTCCCTTCCCCAGCCCCGGCCGTGCCCCGGCCGGACCCGGGACCTCTCCCGAGGAGGCCGCGCCAGGCACGAGGACCAGCTGCCCCAGGGCGAGCCCGAGCGGAGGGGCACAGGGGCGGGCGGAGAGGCCTCGGAGCGGGTGGAGAGGCGCGGAAGGCTCAGGACGGCAGGCTCCTCCTCGCTTTGGGCCACGGGGGCCCGTGCAGGGCCCCGGGGCCGACGCGCGCTGCCGCGCGCTTTTTTCCGCCAGTCTTCGCTCGGGCAGGGGGGTGCCTGGGGGCGGCGCCTCTCGGCGGGGCCTCTCGGGGAGCCTCGCGGGGAGCCTCGTCGGGGAGCCTCGCGGGGGCCTCGCGGGGGCCTCGTGGGGGCCCCTCGGGGGCCTCTCGGGGGCTCCTCTGGCCGTGGCGGGGCCCTCTCTTCTCGGGCCGCGCTGGGCCTTCGCGGGCTCTGGGCCGTCGCCCGGCAGCCCGGGAGGCCGTCGCCCGTCGCTTTTTTTTTCAGTTTTTCCTATAGCTCCGTGTCGGCTGTGTCTCTCCTGGCATCGCTCGGACGTGTGCATGTTTTTTCTCGGCGAGGACCTTCGAGGAGCATCCTCGACCATCTGGCGGAAAAAACCACGCACGAAACCGAGAAAAAACACAGGAAATGGACGTCCGAGCGATGGCCAGCTCTTGGGGGCCGCCTCGGGGGCCCCTCCGGGGCCGTCTCGGGGGCCTGTGGGGGTCATTCTCGCGGCCGTTGCGGGGCCCTCTTAGGGGCCCCCAGGGCTGGAGCGGAGCAGTGTTCTTAGATGTTTTTGTTTCTGGATGGCTTCGTTTTCTTTATGGCTTCCGTTCGAAGCGCGCTCGGGAGCACGTTGCGCCCGTAGTCCAAACGCCCGTCGCGTGCCCGTCCGCTTTGTCCATTGGCCCGCTGTTTTGTTGGGCGTTCTGTTCTGGCGCGGGCATGCGCCGTTGTTTTGCGTTTTGTTTTCGCGCGCGAGCGAGGTGCCCAGGACGGCGCAAGGGGTACCCGGTACCCCGTGCGTCGTCCTGGGGCCATATTGGAGGCCTCTTCGACCGTCTTGGGCTTTCGGAAGCCCGAAGGGGCGTGAATGTCCAAATCTGTCAAGATGATAATTGTTTTTGTCATCTCCGGGCCCTCCTGGGAGTTCTCTTGGAGGCCCCCTTGGGCGCCTTGGGGGCCTCCTGGACCGTCTAGTGGCCACCGAGGCCGTCTTGGAGGTTACCTTGGGACGCGGGGGAAGCCGTGGAGGGCCATCTTGTCTGTCTTGGAAGCCGTTTGGGCCGTCTTGGGGGCTTCCTGGGGCCGTTCTGGCCTTCTCGGAGATCGTCTTTGGAGCCGTCATGGGAGCCGAGGGGGGTCGAGCGCGGGGGCCAGGCGAGCGCCCAGGAGGGGTGGACTCCCCGGAATTCCCTACTGTTCCTTTGGATCCGGTGTCTTGCTCGACAAGAGAGAGAGAGAGAGAGAGAGAGAGAGAGAGAGAGAAAAGCCAACGGAATTCTGTAAGGGATAAACGCGTGTACTGGATGCATCGGGGACCCTGGCTGTTGTTCGCGGGGAGCGGCAGCAACGAAAAAGGCAAGGGCCCGTGACACAACCACCGCTGCAAGCGCGGTTGCGGATGAGTCCCCCCCCAAAAGAAAAAGGGAGCTGGCCCCAGGGAAAGTGGTCGAGAGCCCTTGGGGCCCGCACACCGATCAGGAGGGAAAAATAAACACAGACACACATGAACGTCGACTCCCAGGACAGCATGGGAAGTGGACGGGGAAGACGAACATCCAGAAAATGTTGAACAGATTGTGATTCCAGGGATTTGCGTATATTTATCGGTGTGTCCCTGGGCCCCTCCAACAGTGAAGAAGCCGTGACATCGGGTCTCTGCAGAGAGGGAGGGCGGGAGGGAGAGGGGAGTCTGATGCGTGTTGCTGTTGCTGCGACTCCAAGGTGGGGAATCGTCGCCACTGCTGGATTCGCTTTGAGATCCTGGCCCAGGAGACGTCCAAGGGCTGAGGTTTAGGGGACGGGGGGGGAGCAGGAGGAGTTGGGAGAGTGAGAATAGGACGGAAGACTTATATGATATTGAAAGCAGGTAGGTTGCGAAGCAGCGCGGATGTTGTGACAAGCAGCAGCTTGTAAAGGACATGATGCCATCAGCGCGGGGCATATTTGATTGTATTGCGGGCGAGAACCAAATTGTGATCGTGCGACGTTTGAGTTTGTAAGGACGGTCGAATGGCAAGTGCGAAGAGGAGGAGGGCGCGGCGGGACGGGCTCCTATTGAGCCACAGTGACGGGAGGCCAGACGACATGCCGAGTGAGTACTACCCTCCGCCAATGGTTGGGGCGGGCATGATTGAGCAGCCCCTCACACCCCTCCCTCAGCGATCCATGCATATCCTCCTCCTCCTCCCCCTCCATCACCGCCTCTCCACCCTCCTCCTCATCCTCCTCCTCCTGTTCACTCTCCTCCCTCCGCTCCTCCCATCCTCCGATCCCTCCCTCTGACACCGACGCCCACGACGACGACGACGACGACGACGACGACGACGACGACGACGACGATGACGATGACGACGCCGACGCCGACGCCGACGCCGCCGCGGCCGCCGCCGACGACGACGACGACGACGAGGGCAGGAGCAAGGGGAACGGGGAGAGGTCGGGGAGGGCAAATGGTGGAGGTGGGCTGGGGATGGGCAACAAAAAGTTACCCCCGACCCTACCTAGAAGTTGGAGCCCCTAGGAAAGCAGCGTTAGTTGCTATGCTATGCTATGCTATGCCATGCTATGCTGCGCTATGATATGCTATGATATGCTATGTTATGCTATGCTATGCTATGCTATACTATGCTGCGCTATGCTATGCTATGCTACGCTGTGCTATGCTGTGTTGTGCTGTGCTGTGCTGTGCTGCGCCATGCTATGCTATGCTATGCTGCGCTCTGCTATGCTATGATATGCTGGGCTATGATATGATGTGCTGTGTTGCGCTATGATATACTATGCTATTATGTGATGTGCTATGCTAAAGCTCAGCGAATCTAAGATGAAGGTAAGCTAAGCTAAGATAAACCTGAGCTCAGATGAGGCCAAGCTAAGCTAAGATGAAATATGCTAAGCTAAGATGGGATAGGCAACGCTAAGCTAAGGGGACGTAACTGGGGGAACCGCGGGGCGGATGCCGGGGGAACCGCCCGGGGCGGGGTCCACTGCCCGGCCCCTTTAAGCTCTAGGGTAAGAACCCTTCTAGGCAGAGCCTAGGTAGGGAAAAAGGAGAAGGCGAGGGAGGCAGGGAGGTCTGGGCAACGGGGAAGGCGGGGGCTCCGGCAGGCAGGCAGCGCGGGGCCTGGGGCCCCGTGGTGGCCTCTTGCTCCTGTGGCCTCTGCCCCGGCCTTGCCTGTGCGGGCACTCGTGGGCCCTCGCCTCGTGACGTCTTCGCGGCCCCCTCGCGCAGGAAGGCCCCCCCCTCCGCGTTCCCGTGCGGCGTGCCGTGGCCAGCGGCGCGCGGCGCCCCCGCGCGATGCTCCCACGGCGTGCGGGCGGCGGCCCGGCGCTCGATTGGGCTGGTAATCTGCTGCTCTGCAGCGGCCTCCGCTGGGGGGCCACGTGCGAACCCTGCCCCTACCCCCCACGATTTCTGGAGGGGGAGGGTGGGGTTCCCTTCGCTCGGGAGCTCCCGAGCGAAGTGCACCCCACCCTCCCCCTCAGAAATCGTGGGGGGTAGGGGTAGGGTTCGCACGTGGCCCCCTCTCCGCGTGGCCCCGGCCCTTCCACCCACCCGCCACTTCCCCGCGGCAGCGCGCGCTCTACGTCAGCTGCTGCTCCTGGTCGCTCTGCGTGTGGGCGCGGGCCGCGAGGTCCCGGCCCACAGACAGCAGCTTTTGCCGATGACGCGCTCGTCGTTGTTCGTGGGAGCGAGCAGGTTTGTTTCGGCCAGATTTGGGGCCCCAGAGGGGCCCAAAAACCGTCGTGTTCCTCTCACCTCCGCCCCTGCCAACGGCCCCGACGTCTGGAAGGTATGCCGGCGCTCGTGCGGCGTCGTTTCCTGCGCGACGCGCTCGTCGTTGTGCAGTGGAGGCCAGTCCGCAAGGAGCCTTCCACAGGAAACCCAACCCTCAGACCCCAGGGCGTCCATGGGACGCCCAATTTGGGCGTGGGGACGTCAGACCTTCCACAGCCAAGCCATCGAAAGCCAGGAAGCCCAGGGCACCCCGAGGGGAAGCAGGACGTTTCCTGGCACGGGCCCCCCTCTGCACGGGCCCCTGCCGGCTCTCCGTGCCGCCGCGGCGCCCCGGGTGGCCCGGGTGTGCGCGGGAGCCCCGCTTTCCAGGAAGGCACGGCGGTTCGGCTCGGCTGGCTGATGGCCCAGCCGCGATGGTTCGCTCCCGCGTCGTGTGGGCAGGCTGCGTGCCGAAGACAGGGCGTTGGGGTTGTGCAGTAGACGGGCTGCGGGATCCTCTGGGCCATCTTGGGTGGGGCTTGTCGGGCCGTGCGGGAAGGCCAGGGGTTGCTTGAGGGGAGCAGTGGTGCTGCCTGAGGTCGTCTCGTGGACCGTGTTAGGTCTGTCTGGGAAGGGGTCCTCTTCGACTTTTCGTGGGCCCTCCGTCTTGCGCCATGTTGATGGCTTACTGGGGCCTTCTCAGATTGTCTTAGGGCCACAGTCTCGTCCTCTTGACGCCCGCTTCAGGCGTGTGAAGCTCGGGACGCGGAAGCAAGACAGTGAAAGTTCAAAGGTTCACAATAGTTGGGTATCTCTTCGGCCGTCTTTGGGTACCCCCTGCATGAAGGACCGTCCTTGCAGCACCCTGGTGTTTTTGTTTGTGTCGTCCTTGCACCATCTCTGGCCGTCCTGAACAGAGCGACTGACTTCCGACCACCTCACTGTCGACAATCGTGAACCCACCTCCGATCCGAATCCAAAATGTTGCGTTGGGCGGATTTTGGGGTGGAGATGACGTCCGCGCGGCGCACACCTGAGACACAAACCCAAGCTTCAGACCCAGTCCTACGCTCAGGTCCCAAAGCCAAATCCAGTTCCGCACCGTGCCCCCTCCAACCAGCCCAGCTGGACCTTCCCAGGATCCTCGCGACGGTGGTGGTAGCCGATCTCCTTTGCTCCTACAGTGGGCACATCAACTCAGAGATGGGCGACCTTCCAAGGGTACCCTTGCACCCTTGCCTCCTCGGTCCATCCTTCGCCGCTTTCGTTGGCCGCGCCCCGCTCGAGAAGCTTCGAAATGGGCGTCCCAGGCCCTTTGCACCCTTGCCGCGCATCCTTCTTAGACGGGTCGATGGTGGCCCCGCCGAGGTGCACGGACCCCCTGACAGCCCCAGGGAGCCCTGCACAGGTCCTGCGGCAACCTCTCTGCGGCGCTGGGACCTCGACGGAAGCGGGCCCCCTCGGTTCCGCGTGGCGGGGTGCCCTCTCGCACTCACCTCCTGCATCTGCCCCTCCCCCTCCCCATCCTCCCTCCTCCTCCTCCTCCTCCTCCTCCTCCTCCTCCTCCTCCTCCTCCTCCTCCTCCTCCTCCTCCTCCTCCTCCAGTCCTTACTCCTCCTCCTCCTCCTCCTCCTCTTCCTACCTCCTCCTCCTCCTCTCTCGTCTCCTCCTCCTTCCCCTCCTAACCTCCTCTCTCCCTCCTCCTCCTTCCTCTCCTCGTCCTATCCGCCTCCTTCCTCCTCCGCCTACCTCCTCCTCCTCCTCCCTCTCCTCCTCTCCTCCTCCTCCTCCTCCTCCTCCTCTCTCCTCCCTCCGTACCCTCCTCCCTCCTCCCTCCTCCCTCCTCCTCCTCCTGCTGCATCTCCCCTCCTCGGCGGCGCCCCCCGAGGTGGGAGCGGCGCGAGGGGAGCGGGCGGGCGCCTCCGAGCAGGGCGGGGGGGGCCTCGCGCTGGAAACTGGAGCACATACGGTGGAGGCGTTGTGTGCCGGAATTCGTCCAGGGGCTTCAGACGCTGGAGGGTTCCTTGTCTGATGAGGGCGGCGGTGACGTCCATGGCCAGTCCACGATGAGAGCCCCACGGGTTTCCAGACCCTGGGTTCCTCAGTCAAGGGTTCTTGATCCACTGCCCTCCCCGTACCAGTGGCGGGCTGCGTTATTCAATCCCAGGGCTTCTTGAGGGTCGGGGACGACGTCGGGGTGGTGCAGGGCCGGAGAAAGCATTGGTAAACAGAGTTCGGCTCCTTATCGTGCAAGGCAGGGGCCCTCTTAGAAGGGCCTGGCGGGATCTCACGGGGCCTCCCGGAGGCCAGGAGGGCTGCCAGGAGGCCGCCTGCTTCGTCGGAGGCCCCCCAGCCCCCCGCATTCTTAGAGGGCCGCTCCCCTCACGTTCCCCCCCCCCATATTGGGGTGCGCCGCTAACCTTCCCCCCTGAGATCCGACGTAGCGGAAACAGTTCAACATCGCAAAAGATCACGCCCAGAACCCTGGACCCCATCTTTCTGCGCCATTGCTCGAGAGCCAGATCGAGCTGTGAGGGCCCCAGGGCCCGACGAGAGGCGAACACGCCCGACTCGAAAAAGTTGAGACGCCAGGATCTCAGGGCCCCCCACCCCCCCCGCCTTGTTAGAGGGCCGCTCCCCTCACGCCCTCCCCCCAGTAATGTTGGGGGGCGCCGCCGCCTTCCCCCCTGAGATTCGACGTAGCGCAGAAAGGTCAGCATCGTCAGAAGATCACGCCGGGAGCCCTGCACCCCATCTTTCTGCGCCATGTTTCCAGAGCCGGATCGATCCGTGAGCGTCCTGGGGCCCGAAAAGAGGCGAAAACGCCCGGCTCGAAAAAATCGGGGGCGGCGAAGAGGGGGGTGATGACAAGGGGGGGGTGGATATCATGGCGGGGGCCATGATATCTCCCCAGATTTCATGGCGCCTCCTCCCAGTGCATTACGACCCCGGCCCCCCCCCTGGGCCGCGCACATGCCGCCGGCCATGATTTGTGCCCCCCTCCCTCTTGGACGCCCCCCCCCCATTCTTGGACGCCCCCGCAGGAAAGCTGAGGCGCCAGGATCTCAGGGCCCCCCCCCCACGTCGCCGCCCCACGTCGCTCCCGGTCGGACATCCCACGACACGGCCGGTCCAGTGTGCGCGGCCCCCCCTCACGGGCTGCTCCGACCTATCCCTCCGGGGGGGGGGGCGGCGCCTTGCCCCGCAGAGATCTGCCCTCTCTTGGCGGCCCCCTCGGGACCGAGCTCGGGCCAGGGGGCCCGAGCCCTGGCAAAAACGATTGGTCCTCCTCCTCCTCCTCCTCCTCCTCCTCCTCCTCCTCCTCCTCCTCCTCCTCCTCCTCCTCCTCCCCCTCCTTCTGACTCCTCCTCCCTCTCC